CGTATACGCCTGTATCCATGTTAGTAATTACGTCTCGACAACGACTACTATAGTACGTACGAGGTAGAATAGTATATATATATATATATATATATATATATATATATCGTTTATAGTGATGGACGTAGGACGTACGACTTGTATACCAAGCTACAATTCAATCACTTACTCTGTATTATATTCTGTAATGTATTGTTTGTCCTTGCGAAATCCTGTTCAACTGCTCAAATACTAATCATGTACCTCGTGCGAGTAATGTAGGCTGAAAATACAAACATGCCATGCTTAAACCCTTGGCCATCAGCTGTAAGCGGGCGTATTAATTCAATGTGCACTTGATCGTTAGGGATTAATATTGAAGTTGTATTTTCACTGCTGCTCTAGGAATTTACTAACGCGCCATATCGCATCCATGTTGTTTGGCACAACCTTCGAGTGCTAGCCTAGTCACATTAGTCCAAGTGCGTAATGGGAGTCGCCGCTTGATTTGACCACCAGGCGCCACTCTGCGTCTGGCATGAATTGTGATTCCAAGGGTTGCTAATGTTTGGGTAATGATTCACCCAAGGTGGTTTTGCAGTAGCTCGATTGAGTAAGAGTACACAACATCGTGTTTCAAACATAATTATATAGTACAACAACTTTGTGAGAATGCGCTACAACAACAACTAAATCTTCGGCGCCTACAAAACTTTCTCTACCTTATAGATCATCAACGATAACGTACCCGCTGCCAACGATGTAAAGGCTTGGGTGCGTTGGACGCTAGCGTGGCTCATACCTGGCTTGGGGATGTTCATGGAGTCATATATGATTTTCAGCACGGGCCAGATAAAGACCATCTGGGGCGAGGCCTACCCTACTTGTTGGAGTCCGGACGAAGAACCCGTATGTATAGATGCAGTACAATGTCCCAATCTATTCCCCGGCACTGAAAATGTCACCCCCGACGCTAGCTACTGCACGGCGGATGGGAGCTATCCGGACGACGTTCTGTGCGACGCAGGCGTGCTCAACTCCGTATCCTTCACGGAGTTTGCGGGCGTCATAGTCGGCATGTTATTGCTGTCCATGTTTGCTGACCGCATGGGCAGGAGGGCTGGGTCACTTGCCACCCTGGTCCTCATGACCATTGCTGGTCTTTTCATGACCATGTCGCTGCCGGTGAATGGGTTGCAGTCCATCTTCCTGTGGTTTGCCATCGCATATTTTGTCTTTGGTTTCGGAGTGGGTGGAGAGTATCCCGTGAGTGCATCCTCTGCTGCCGAACGGTCTCAGGCGAATGCCACCAGTGTGTCGAGAGGCAAGGATGTTGGTTTGACCTTCAGTTGCCAGGGAATCGGCGCCTTTGCAGGTATGGTATACTCGATCTGTGCATGATTCATTTGAAACCTTTCCGTTCATACTTTATTGTGGTATGTATCCTGCTCTCGTTTTATGTCCCCAGTAGTTGATTTGATCACCACCTATTTCAGTAGTCGTATATTCGTATACGGCATATACTTGTACGTATGCTGTCCAGAACTCCCACTCACTTGCTTAGGTTTCGCATACATACCAATGCGTACACGATTTCACAATGCAGCACATATATGCGAGAACCCCTCGCCCCTCTTTGATTGAGATACTCACGTGTATGCAGATGCGCTCATTATGTGATATGTCACATCCAAGTGGACAAAGCCAAACATGTACATCGTACGCTTCTTTTAAATTGTTGTGACGCCCTAATTTTACAACAAAAGGAAATGACATGGAGTGCGATTCAATTATATGTTAATAGATTTCATAAAATGGCAATTACTTGTCTCCGTACAATGTCTGATATTGCAATAGTGTCTATAGAGTTCACAAATTGTCAGTCGCTTGCCTCTGTACAATGTCTAATATTGCAATAATGTTTATACAGTATAAAATGGCAATCGCATGCATCCGTACAAAGTCTAATATTGCAGTAGTGTATATAGATTTCAGAAATGACAGTTCTATGTCTCCGTGCAATGTCTAATATTTCAATAGTGTTTGTAGAGTTCATGAAATGCCAGTTGTGTGTCTTTGTACAATGTCCAACATTTCAATAGTATTATAAAATTCATAAATTGGCAGTTGCATGTCTACGTGCAATGTCTGACATTACAATAGTGTTTATAGATTATAAAATAGCCGTTTAATGTCTCCGTGGATTGTCTAATATTGCACTAGTGTTCATAGAGTTCCTAAAATGGCAGTTACATGTCTCCGTACAATGTCTATTATTGCAATAGTGTTTATAAAATAGTGTTTATAAAGTTAATGAAATGGCAGTTGCATGTCTCCGTACAATGCCTAATATAGTAATAGTATTTATGGAGTTCATAAAATGGCGGTTGCATGTCTTTGTACAATGTCCGATACTGCAATAGTATTTATGAAATTCATAAAATGGCAGCTGCATGTCCACGTACAATGTCTGACATTGCAATAGTGTTTATGATATCATAAAATATCAGTTAAATGTCTCCGTAGAATGTATAATATTGCACGAGCGTTCATAGAGTTCCTAGAATGACAGTTGCATGCCTTCGTACAATATCTGATATTGTAATAGTATTTACAGTTCATGAAGTTGCAGTTGCATATCTCTGTACAATGTCTAATACTACAATAATGTATATTGAGTTCATCAATTGGCAGTTGCATGTCTCTGTATCTGGTCCCGGAGCCACGCTCAACAGACTTAAGCTATGCTTAATTCGAAATTTGATTGCCTAATATATTATGTTTCCCTAACGTGGACTGTACTAAGGCGTGTTGCATACACATGTAAAGAGGGGATATCCGATTTATATTTAAAATCTCCCTCTGAAGTCTGCATCTACTGAGATTGTCCAGTCATAGAGCATTGGAGTGAACGTCTTCGAGAATATGGGAGGTTTGCGGATACATGCACTCCTGTTGGCTCGTGGCAAATACAACCACCAATCCTGACACTCTACTAAACAATAAACAGGTTCCTGTGTGATCGTTCTCCTTCTGGTCATTGTGGGAGAAAACAGTCCAGACTGTTTAGCAGACGATGCTAATGCAATGGGGCACTCTCAAAAGAATCTGGAGATCGTATGGCGTGTCACCTATGGTCTTGGAGTGGTGATCGCCGCTGCTGTGGCAATCTACAGATACTTCAGGCTGAAGGAATCAACTGTTTGGCAAGATGCTAAAGATCGTCGGAATATCAAATTTTTGGAGGGGAAGTACAAGATTGACCTTAACAACCCCATTGCCCAGTATAAGGTTAGTACCAACATCTATTGTCCGTGCAGGATCATCTAGGAACGTTCTCTCAAATTATGGACATTGGTCTTGCAATGTTTTAGACTCGGAGCAAATTGCTTTATGTTTTATCAATAGAGCTACCATAGCAGGTGCATGACAGGACGCATGACCTTCAACATATTCCAACACCAACGCAAACAGTGTATCGATTTTCTTTCCGCTCTTGTCTGTAGGTGGCCTTCACGCACTACTGGAGTCGTATCATCGCGACCGCTGGCTGCTGGTGTCTTTGGGATGTTGCCTTCTACGGCAACAAATTGTTCAGCGGTCCAATATTCGCCCAACTGGTGCCGGATGGAAGCCTTATCACAGTCAACCTGTACATCTGCCTGAACAACTTTGTAGCTCTTATCGGTTACTATGTGGCGGCATCACTCATTGACAGGCCTTGGTGCGGTCGCCGTCGCCTACAGCTGTTTGGGTTTACGATGATGTGTATTCTGTTTGCCGTGTGCGCTGCACTGTTTGATTCGTTAGATGCGAATGTGTTGCTGTTCCTGTACATCTGCACGTCTTTCTTCGGACAGTGTGGGCCGAACATGACCACCTACGTGACTCCGACAGAGGTGTACCCCGTTGCCCTGCGTGCCACTTGCCACGGCCTGAGTTCGATGTGTGGTATGACAGGTGCTCTGACGGCCACCATTGTCTTTGGGTACCTCGACACGGATATTATTTTTGCGGTCTGCTCTGTCGTATCCTTCATCAGCTTGTTCTTTACTTATATCTTCATGCCTAACGTCACGGAGATGCATCTTGTCGAGAATGATCGTTACCTGGAGATGATTCTCACCGGACGCGCGGACGAATACCATGGGGAGGTGAGAAACCCCAAATTCTGTTCAAACTTCGAACGATGGACTGGTTTCTGTGAAACCTATAATCCCAATTTCTTGACAGAGTTCCAGAGTAAGTTGGAGAAAGAGTTACTGGAGAACGAGGTCGAGACGCCCGATACTTACACAGTTAAGGAATCTTCAAACGCAGTCGATAATTCTTCATCCAAGTTGGCTTGAACTTGAGTCGAGCTTCAACAGTCCTAATACGTATTACGTGGGACTTCAGTAATTAGCCGTAATACGTGGTATCATCCATTTAAAAACTGATACAATAAATGTAGTAGTAGTAGAAATATAGATCCATGATGCATACGAGAATCTTTCTGTACAGATCTCTAAAGCCTCTAACCGCTGTTGTGTGTAAATCCTCGAAAATACCACTCACCAATAACTTACAGGCCTGTATGCCTGTTGAATACTTGTTTATTCACCAATACATATATCTACGTACACCTATCTAGTAGCTCACTTTTTTGGAATAGCCGCATACGACGTCATCATCACGTTGTACAGTGTACTAGGGAAGCATGTGTCCTACGAATGGGCACTAAGCTCTCGAAGTAGAAGGTCGAAGTCCTAACTGACAGGCTTGTCATGTGACATCCCCTCAATTGCTCACATATCCTTGCGGAATACCTTATTCCTTCCCAATACCTATTGTCATTTGGCACGGACGATCTCGTTGTCACGTTGTACAGTGTGCTGGCGAGGGATGTGTACTACGCACGCGAACTGACCACCTGAGCTAGGCGATTTGAGGTCAAGTACACACCCAAGCGAACCGTGTTGGTGTCCCGGAATTGGTGGCGCATTGTGCTAGATGAAGCCCAGAAGGTCGAGTCGGGAGTGTGCCAGTATATGGATTGCATATTCAGTGTTCACGGATGATTTCACACGAGTTTGTGCTTGCAATTTGTCTTAATCGTCGTACGCGTCTGGTTTGCGAAGCTTCAGTAGGAGAAAACCCCCTAAAAAAAATCGGCCATGTGTACATCCAAGTGAATTGTGTAGGTGTAGATGGACTGGGGGCGAAATATAACATAGGTCACAGCACTTTTCCTATGAGCTCGCACTCGAGCACTTATCTGCTGCAATTGATGCATGTGCTAGCTACCTTGCGTTGGGATACTATTGGAGAAATGTAGACTTGGAACAATGGATAATGATAACTCCGTGTATGTGTGTTGTACTAGGGCACTTTTGTACAGATGAGAGTTTTAGACAATAACTTCAGTGATACCGGACCCACTTATAAATTACCTCGGTCCTTCCTTGTTACGTGGACCAGGCATTACTACCCCAGAGGATATTATAGAATTGATGCAGTCAGGCTGTGTACCTGCTGTGTGTAAAACACGATCTATCGGATCCTAATGCTGGTTTCAACTACAAGAGTAACTGTATCAGAACAGACCTGTAACACACCCAATCATAAGTTTCCTTATCGTGAATAGCTCTGAACGCAACCGTGGAATCGAGCATACCAAGATACAAATCCTTCTGTGATATGATGAAAGGCACCCAAAATGCACGTGGTTATAAGCTTTTATGTGCTGTGAAAGATTCTTGATGTGCTCAGCATTGAGTATTTATTTTCTCACATATAGCCCTGCGACGATGGTGTGGTGAGTCGCATGCACGCCGTGCACAGGTGGGCGGTGACGGGTAACCAACAGGACACCAGGGAATTGGCTCTATGAAGAATCTGCTCGATTTTATCTCGCATCCCATGTAGACTACGCCAAGGCATATTGAAACGTATAGGAAATGCGTGGAGACGCAGAGAGATGTATATTCCATGAGAGAGTGAGGGTAATGGAGAGTCGATGACAGTTATGATGCTACAAAGGTTCTCAGACCCTTGTTGGGAGATGTCATGAGCCGCGTGTGCAGGTATAGCCAATCCCCAAGTAAGCAAACATTAATGTGTTTTGGAAGTAGATATACATACAAACATGCATATGCATACTTCCTCGCACATCACAAGCTGGTTAGTGGTTGTTATATGACCCGTCAGTAAGTGGACTGTGCGGGTATAAACTACCTTAAGACGAGCTAAATGTGGTTGTTGCGTCAGTTTCAACAGTGTATATGACTGCATTGAGCTGACTTACAGTTATATTTTTAGGCATATTAATGTGTGTGTGTATATACACTCGTTGAGCGTACGTATAGTTGTATCATAAGGCATATGAATGTGTATATAACGTATACGATGGTTGTCGCTTCCATTTCCACAGTGTATATGCTCTCATTGAGCGTATGTATAGTTGTATATTCATGCATGTGCATGTATATACCCATGTGTACGATGGTTCTTGCTTCGGTTTTAACAGTGCATATACTCATATTGGGCTTATGAATACAGACATGCATACATCTAAACATTTTTAGGTATATGCTTGTGCACACTCATGTTTATAACCTGTCGTGGGAAAGCGGGATTGAAGGAGCTTTGAATCACAGGCACGGATATGCTACGTATGTTGGTAGAAGTTCATGAAGTGTCCTTTGGTGCGTCAGAGATCTGTGGATCTGAAAAAGCGAGCCGTGTGGTGTTCTTCTTTCCTTTCGCATTGTTATGTATTCATCTGTGTACACAACGCAACAACAAATATCTACATAGTTAACAACGGTATATGAATACTGCTATGAAAACATATCTAGTATACAATTACATATATATATATATATATATATGTGTGTGTGTATCGATATATATACATATATATACGTGTGTGTGTGTGTGTGTGTGTGTGTGTTGTGTGCGTGTGTGTGTGTGTTGTGTACGTAGT